ATATATATATAAACACACACACACACACATACATACACATTCATACCCCAATATAAAAATCACCTTAAGAGGCTAGTAGTGAAATTCAGTGGTAGAGGGCTTATTTACCCTAATTTTTTTTTCTTTCTTTTTTTTTTTTTTTTCTTTTTTGTGGAACTAGGGGTTGATCTCAGGCCCTTGGGCTTGCTAGGTAAGTGTCTATTCCACTGAGTCATCTCCCTGGCCCCAAAAATGGCCACCCTAATTTTTTGTTTTGTTTTTGAGGCAGGCCCCCAAGAGGGCTTATTTAAATGTGTGAGACCTTGAGCTTTTGTTTTCTCAGGTTTTTTGGTGGGGAAGATGTGAACAAGGTTCCACTATGGAGTTCAAACTGGCCCCTGACTCACTTTGTAGCCTAGTCTGACTTTTTTTTTTAACTCACGGTTATTCTCCTGCCTCAGACTCCTGAATGCTGGAATTACAGATGCACACCACCACACTCAGCTTGAGACTTTGAGTTTGAGCACAAAAAAGGGAAAGGAATGATAAAGGGAAGTTACATTAAAAACTTACCGTAACTGTAAAATGTATGTTTTCCTTTCCCTCTTTCTCTATTACTATAGGCCCTCTGTTTGAGAACAGTGTACAAAGAATGTTCAATATAGAGTAATATCTATGGTGACAACACTCATAATCTGGCCTCAGATAAATGGGCTGTTTTGTAACAGTGGAAATGAACTATTTCCAATGGAACATGAAATACAGATGTACTTTCATACCCATACTCATATGAAATTACTAATCCATCAATGAAAAACTGGAAGAATGATGAAGTGTACAAATATATCCAGGCTGCGTCCTTATAAAACTGACACAGCATATGACTTAGGTCAGTTTCTATGTAAATAAGCAGTTCCAGTTCCTTTTACTACCAAAGAATATGTTAAATGACAAAGCAAAATGGCACCATACAAAGCCTGCACCATTAGAGATGGGCAAAGAAAATATTCTGTGCAACCCCCATATTACTTTTCTTAATGGTTGTGCTACTGTACATTCTCACCAAAATTACATTAAGGTTCCAATGTCAACATCCTCAGTAACACTATTTTTTATTAATTAAGTTTATTGTGAAACTTATTATACTTATAGGTATATACAATGCTCACATTCATCAGAATTTGTGCCTGTACATAATATAATTTGATTCTTTCTTTCCATTCTCCTACCCTCCCTTCAACTCCTCTTCTGCTCTCTATTGCAAAAGCTCTGTTTCTATTTTTCCTTTCTTTTCTTTTTTTCCCTTCTCTTTTCCCCCGCCCCCATCCTTAGGTCCCCTTTCCATTTGAACATCTTATTTTTACAATAGTTATCCCAACTGACATTAGGTAATATTGTGCTTTTCACTTGCATTTCTCTGATAATTAGTAATGTTGAGAACCCCTTCATGTTTTGTGGTCCTCCTTGTGTCTTCTTCAGAAAAAAAATCTATTCCAGATATTTACCCATTTTTTCAGTTGGATACTGTGCTATCCAGACATACAGTCAACTCATCTTTAGCAAAGATGTCAAGAACACAAAATGAGGTAAGGATTGCCTTTTCAAATGACACTGAGAAAACTGGATATCAACGTGCAAAGGAGTAAAAGTAGACCCTAACACTATAAATAAAATCAAAATGAAATAAACACGTAAGAACTCAAAAGGTAAAACTAGGAAGAAATGGAGACAGCGTCATGACAATGTTCTTGGCACAGGATGCTTGCATCTGGCCCCAAAAGGACGGGGGTAGAAAGGAAACCAGACAAGTGAAAGTACATCAAACAGTTCTGCACAGTAAAGGAAACAATGCTCAGAGTAAATGCCAGCTAACAGAATGGGAGAACATGCTCACAAGCCATCTCTATGATGAGTTAGCATAACCATATATGAGAATCTCCTAAAATTCAACTTAGAGCAAGTATCTAAATCACCCAATTAAAAACTGGTATGTTAATCTTTTAAAGAGTCAGACAATAATTTGCATAAAACTATGAAATACTAAAAATTTTATAGCAGAATGTCAATTTCAAATTAATGCCTTATAGCATTTAATTATTTTTATACCAACATCTAATAGGTAAAATATAAGAGGATATTTAGCCAGTGAAACTGTACTATGTAGTACTATAATGATAGATAAATGGAATAATCATTTATTAAAATCCACAAAATTTGACAACAAAAGGACAGGGTCTGAACGTAAATCATAAAATTCAGTTAATAATAAATATTTATTCACTGATATTGACAAGTACATCACACTAACAAAATTTTAGTAATAGGCGAAACTGCAGTAGGTAAGGGAGTACTCTGTACTTTCTGTACAGAATAAAAATGCAGCAGTTTTGTGTGCTTAATTTGTTAACCAGCAACTTCTCTAAAAATAAAGTTTATCAACTTAAAAATCTAATTATTTTAACATAAAATGACAGCACCATGTACTCAAGTTATGATTTTATTAACAAAATAGGGAAAGTGTATTTTTGTCTGGATTAGATAATCTAAAATAACCCTACCTTTGAAATTTGATATGAGGGCCAGCATTATAGCTCAGCAGACTAAGCACTTGCTTAGGTAAGCGCAGGGACCAGGGTTCCATATCTGCCCACCCCCAGGTGTGCTGAGCTGGCAAAGGAGTCTGGGCATGCTAGTACACACCTGTAATCCCAACACCAGGGAGGCAGAAATCAGAAGGATCACTACGAGTCCAAGCTGTGTAGTGAGACCCTGCACCAAAAAAGTTTTTAAAAAAAACATAAAAAAAGATATTTGATATGATAATGAATTTTATATCACAATGAATTTTTGAAATTCAAGAAAATGTCTATATTCTGAGTGTCATACTGAAAAGTCTGTTTGGACAGGAGTAACACAATACAAAGGCTAGGTGAGTCAAACAACATAAATATACTTCCTCAATTCTCCAGGCTGCAAGCTCAAGATCAAAAGGAGAGCAGAGCTGTCTTCTTGATGAGGCTTTTTTTTCCTGGTTCACAAATAGCCACAGTTCCACTGCATCCTCAGATGGCCTTGCCTTTTGCATGAGAACTTTAGTGTCCACTGCTGTATTTAAATTGACAAGAATCCTATCTTATTTAATTCCCAACTTCTTGGTCTCATTTAATCTTATTTACCCCTATAATGGCCATACTACAAGCATAGTAACATTAGGGGTTAGGACTTCAACACAATAGTGGAGCATCAATCAATAACATTTTTTCTCTGGCCTCCAAAATTCAGTTCACATTCATTTTCTTTCTCTTTACTTCTCTCTCTCCCTCTATCCCTCAACCCCCCATTACCTCTTTCTATTTCAATTTGGTTGTGGCATTTGCATGTTTCCATACTTTGATAACATCCATCCCCATTATCCATCCTCAACTCCCTCTTCCTGGACCTCGGATCCCTTCTTTCTGCCTACTAATCTCCCTCTATTTCAGGTCATGTTGTGTTTTTCCCCCTAGAGTTCACATATTAAGCAACACATGTGAGACTTCTCTTTCTGAGGCTGGCTTATTTCACTTAACTGGATATTCTCCAGTTGCAATTATTCACTTCCTTCTCACATGCAAAAGATCATTCACCCCATCCCAAAAGCTCCATTTTAACCTATACCAAGTTAAGGTATAGTTTTAACCTATACCTTAACTTGTCAACTCCAAGTTCAAGGTCTCATCTAAATGTCACCTGAATTATTTACAAATGAGACACTAGTTATGATTAGGCCTGTGACAAAAGCCTTCTCCACCAGGAAACTCTTGAGACCATGCAAGATATGCCAAAATCGATGGTGAGGGATGCATTAATTTAGCCATCACTTTTTCAAAAGGGAGAAATGAGAAAGAAGAGAGATGTCAACAGTTCCCAAGCAAGTTCCCAAAATTCACTAAGTAAAATTTCATTCATTAAATTTTAAGGTCCAAGTATAAATTTCCTTGACTCAATATTCTGCCCTGAGCCCACAATAACAGTGGTTTTGTTTTCTGAGCCAGTTAGGATGGCAGCCTAGCTTTACTGGCTCTAATCAGCAGCTTTTCTCCTAAGGCTATGGATGGAGGTATTCCGCCCTGCTGAAAATGAAAGGATACCTCATACTCTGAAACCGAGAAGGTGCTGTCTTCACTCTTGAGCTTGTGGAAGCAGTGACACTTCTGTCAATCTCTGAATCATCTTTAGGCTCATTTTTATCTTTCCTTGGATACAGCATGTTTCCAGTCAGATCATCTAATGCTCTGTTTTTAGTATTCATGAGTGAGCACTCATCTAGTGTGCTCAAGAAGGGCCCAGACATTGACCTAACTAAGTCCATGTTGGCTCTCTAACTTTTTTGTTTTTTCCCTCTTCCTTCTGAACTTTCCAGGGTCATTCTTTCCTGTAGTTACTTGTATTCAAGGTACAACAGGCCTGATAAACATCTATGACATAAGACTAAAATCATACACATACAAATACCCCAAGCAACAGCGATCGTCACAGATTCCAACAGTATTCACTTGGGCAATCCTGAGAAATGATCAGCCAGCCCTGGCCTGAACACCATTGCTTGCTGGTCAAGTTCTGCAAACCCATAATGCCTTAATTGCTGCTCATCTCTTCTCTGGCTTTCTGGAAGCCTTAACTCCAGTTAACAGATCTATTGTATAGAATCCCGGGAGTCTATAAAGAATTCTTTCCTTATTTTGTTCCATCTGTCCTTTTAAATACAAACAGGCAATATCTCTGCTAGAATAATCCTAAATCTGTTCCTGGCTTCTGCTGACATGATTGCCTAACCTGTGGGTAACGTTCATGGAGAGATTGTCCAGCCACAAAGCACTAAGAGTTCCTGTTCCTTCTAAATATTCACAGTATGAATATGCTGAGAATTTATCAAATCTTAATTTCTGGTTCTTCTGTCTTAATTCCTTGTAGACTTGTCTCTCTTCTTTCACTAGATTACCCTTTAAAATTTTGCTCATAAATTTTTTGCTAATTATGCAATATCACAACTTAAACACTACTACCCACCAAATTCTAGAATGCAATTCAGCCATACATTTTGCTACTTTCTAATAAAAACTGCCTGCAACCTTCTACCAACCATCAATAGCATTCCTTACTTACTCTATATGAAAAGTTCACTGGAATTACTTTCAACATCTATATTCCTACCAACTATTCCTTCGAGGCAAATCTAGACTCTTTTCCAATGGATGTGTCAAAATTCTTATAGTCTTCCATATTGTCATAGCAAAATCATCTTTCACAATTTGAAAATCTATAATATTGTCCTTGGGCTTCCATAACCCAATACATTGGACTGCATGGCTTACGTAAGAAAAATATATTTTTTCACAATTCTGAAGTCTGGAATGTTTTATTTCTGGTGAGTACTCTCTCTCTCTGGCCACAGTTGAATGCCTTCTTCCTGGATCCTCAAATGGTCTTTCCTCTGTATGTTTGCAATTCTGGCATGTCTTCCTCTTCTTTTAAGGACAGCAGTTCTATTGGATTACAGTCCTACCTTTATAACTTCATTTAACTTTAATTGCTCCCTTAAATATTTTATATTCAAACTAGTAACATTAGTAGCAGGGCTTTAACATATGGATGGGGGGAGAGTCCTTCAAGAAGGCACAGTGTAAGGGCAGTGAGATAGCTCAGCAGTCTAAATGCCTGCTTTGGCAAGTGCAGGGACTAGGGTTCAATCCCCAGTCCCTCATACTGTGCTGGCCCTGCCCCAGGGCATGCTAACCAGGGGAAATGAGTCTGGGTGTGGTGGTGCATGCCTGTAATCCCAGCGCTGGGGAGGCTGAAAACAGGAGGCTCACTATGAGTCCAAGCTGTGTAGTGAGACCCTGTACCAAATACATTAATTTTTTTTAAAAAGGCAGAGTGCACTGCACTCTATAACAGTACATACAAAACTCAAGCCAGTCCTCTAACGATTTTGACATTATTAGCATTTTTGTGTTTTATTCTGTGTCTATTCTGTTGTACTTTATGCACAATATAAGGTCATGGCATAAAGAAACACTGAATTCATAATTACTCAAGATGGAAAAAATTATCTATGAACAAACAAAAATGAACAAGTGAAATAACATAAGACTTTGAGCCTCCCTTGTCAATTGTATTTATTTAAAACTGTGACAGAATAAGCAGACTAGTGCAAACTGCCAAATGTATGAAAAGGGCAATGAATATCAAATTAAATAAAACACCTAAATGTTTTATCCAATTTAAACTATATAAGAGATATATTATATCTGAAATTCAGTTTTTTTGTGAGAGTAGGGTTTTGATTTTTATTTCTTGAAGAGGGATCTTGTTACCCAAGCTGACACTGAACCCTGGACTCAAGTGATCCACCTGCTTTGGACTCCTGACAAGTTGGAACTATAGGTGCCCATCACTGTGTCTGTTCCCTAGTTTTATTTTTTTAGCTGTCCGTAACAGCTAAAAACAGGTTTAAATTAAAAATGTATATATGCTTTTGCTCTCTCTCTTACTCACTCTGTCTCTCCACCCTTCCTCCCTTTGTCCTTCCTTTTTCTCCCTCCCTCTTTTTCTTTCTCTCCTTCCTTGTTTCTGTGGCAAAGATCGCATTACTGTAAGTGCTAAGTACATTATGTCCCCATGAAATGAAAAGGCATAACCCTTTTGTAGATGCTAAGAAATAGTATTTTCTTAATGTAAAAAAATCTCATTATCTGGGACACAGTAACCTTCGAAGTAAACCACATCTGCTTTGTAAAGTAGGCTTTGGAACCAGTGACTATGCACTTGGCTAGAACATAATGCATAATAATAATTCTATTAGGAATCAGATGTACAGGCATTATTTTATAAAACTGCTAATATATCCACAACCTCTACAGATGCTGAATATTTCTGATATAAATTATGAACACAGAAGAATTGAAATAAAAAGTGCCCAAATACAAGTAAGCCACTGCAAAGAAGTACTAACAATAATGCAATCTCTGACCTGTAAAACAGTGTAAAAATGTACATGACTGAGTTTACAAAACAATAAACAAAGTTTGTTTCCAACCATTTAAATATGCATGAAGACAAAAAGTAATCCCATTAAGTAGAAATGACAATAAAATTTTACAATTAGGACTATATTTCTGTGAGATTTATGTGCCTTGCTAGTTCAATAGATATTTCTGAAACATACATTATTTAGTGAAAGGTGACTTTTAATCTGGGATCCCTTTTTATTTTAGTCTCTATCACAGACATCCCATACTTTATCTACACAAATAGAAGATTGGATCAGGTTACTTGCAAACTGCCAATTCTATAATTCTAGGCATGGTAGCTGCAGAGACTAAAATAGTGTTGAAAGGTTCTAATTTACTAAGCTTAAAACTGCCTAAATCATGAATCATAGACCTCAACCTTCTACAAAAATTGTTAATGTTACACATGTCTGCTACTGAAAATTATAAAGTCAGTAATGACAGTTGTACACTTTTGGATTCATATCTACAAACATTCTTCTTGAAAACTAACTTTTATTGATTAAAAAAAGAATAACCTACCTTACCTAGCTTTCACACTCCTTACTTCTAACTTTCCCAGGCTTGCTAAGTTCCTAGGCCCTATGCAATATGCTACTCTATTGAGAAAAAGCAATATGAATTTTATACCACAGTGACTACCTGGTACTGCCTACACAGCCCCCAAAAGCTCCTAAACCACTTCAATTAAAGGTGATGAATATGATGAATAACATCTCTTCATTCTTGTAAAATGACAGCCCCTCCTCTCCAGAAGTAGTTCATGTACTTAGATTCGAAAGCTCAATGTTGTCTTTAAAACTAAATGACACCTTTAGATGTCACTGAACAAACATTTTGTAAGTTCTATGTTCTGATTAGTGTTTTTTTTTTTAATGCTATCACTTTTTAGTAAAAGGAAGAATGGCTTTTAAAGCATGAATGAGGTTACACTGAACAGAACCCACATAGCATTCACTTCTCATACACTACTTTTTTATGGGAAAAAATAAGGGGTAGAACTTACATGCAGAATTAATAAATAGTATGATGGTAAAACATATCTTTCAAAATGGTATGTGCAGGGGCCGGGGAGATGGCTCTGTGGAATAAGTGCTTCCTTGGCAAGCACAAGAGTCTGAGTTCAATCCCCGGTTCCGAAAAAAAGTGGTATGTGCATATTTACATATATATGAAGCTCTTAGAAATTATTATGACTTTATAAATTTTGTTCCAAGAAATAGCATTAGTCACTTTTGGATAATCTTGAACAGTCTGGACATATCTAAGCATAATTTTAGTAAGGTGACATGAATATATCTGATTAGACCAAGAAGATAAACTAAAACAAACAAAAACAAATGATTTATTTTTAGTTAACATTAAGTTTTGATTTGAGGCTAAAATCATTCATTCTATGAATAATTTTAAGCAATTACTACTTTTTCAGAGTATACAAAGAATAACAAGGACATGTACCGTGAAACCCTATAAAAGCATAAGAGAAGTTCTGAGTTAGTTGGATGGGGGAGTGAGTAAAAACTGGCATAACTCTCAAAGGGAAATAATCAAGAAAAGAATTAATCTTGATGTCAACTGCAGCTTTCTTTCCCTATTTGGCAGGCTATCTACTTTGAAGAAAAATGAACTAAAATATATTTATTTTTATGTGAAATATATTAATACAAAGTACAGTTTTAATAAAATTTAATAAGTATTTGTCTAATTTTCATGCTTTCATCAAATGAATACATTGATAATAAGTCAAAATATGAATAATGAAAAGAAGATTCAGATAATAAGGTGGCAACAGAAAAAGACTGCCTTGGCTTGGAGATCTTTCACTTCAAGGGCAAAAGAGTTATACAGAAAGATCTCTTGGATGTAAAGATATGTAGCTTCACCAATTACTGTAAATGATTTTTGGCTTCTAAAATATTGCTAGATAATATACTGCAAAATAAAACTATCTCCTAATAGAGAAGTCACTGAATGGGAAGCCAAGACATTTGGGCTTATTTAATAATTCATCCCACCATTCTTCCCAAAGGAGGGTTTAAATCTCCTAATGTTTTTATTTACTGCTCTGTCTTTCCTCCATAATCTTTACCTTTGAATAGTCTGTTATTCAAGCCTCTGCTTAGTACTTATGTCATTGAGCCACCAATAAAACATCACACTAATGTACAGTCAGTTATTCCTTTAATTAGAAACTCTCAAAAAAGGCACAAAAGTATCTCAAGTCTTCATTATCCCTTGCAATATGACACAATGCCTTCTACTATGCATATTGTTGAACTGAATTGGAAGCAATGAGACC